CCCCAAAACCCCAAAACCCCAAAACCCCAAAACCCCATGACATTTACCAACAGTTGAAACTCAATAAAATTTAACAAGTTAATTTTGGCTCTTTCTACAAAATCATTTTACTGAGATAATCAATAGGAAGGAAATCCGAAACTCTCTTAAAATTCTTTAATCAGTTGATGATCTATCAAAGAAGAATTCCTGTTAGAGGGAAGATCACTAGGCACTATTCCAGATACTCCTCTGATTTCTTCCGAAGAGGGATTTATATGCTGTGAGGTTTCGATCAATACTTCATTTTGAGTTGCTTTTGACTTAATGGAATGATACAATTTATCCGTTATCTGCCATTCTTTTAGGATAAGCAGGAACAAGTAATAATTAGCTCCAAAAAGAATTGCTAATATTATAAAATAAAACACAAGAGGGGATAAAACTATTCTTGGATCAACTGGCTGTTCGGACAAACTTATGATAACATTGTCAAACTCAGAGCACTGGGAAGTATCATTTCCTTGAAAATTTGTAATGAAATATTGGCCGACTCTCATGCGTATGCAATCTGATTGATCTGTAAAAGCACTTAATCCTTGGGTTGCAATGATCTTGTTAATAACTCCAAATGATTTTTTCGCATACATAGCTATAAGTTGCTGGTAGCCATAGTCAAGTTCAGTTACCCAGCTTTTGGAAAAGCTTCTAAATTCGGTAAAGAGTCTGACCAGTAATTTTTCTGGAGTTATTCAACTCAAACACTCACAATGGACGATCCTTAAACCTGCAAACATCAAATTATTTGAGAAAGCTAAAATTGTTTTGAGAGAAATGTTATAGGTTTGATATTCATATAATAAAAAGCCTATTGATCTGACTAAAGGAACGATGAATCTCAACTGTCGATCAATTTTGTCCACAGTATAATTTATTCTCAAGTCAGGAGAGCTCCAAAACTCACGTAGTATTGGATAAAGGGAGACTGGCATTGAGACCATCAGCATTAGAAATACCACTAATTTGAATGACTTTCCCATATTATATTTATTTTTTAAAGCTATCTTTATGCTTGAAGTTTGAGATTCTCTCTTAATTATTTCACTAATATTGCTTGATATGAAGCTTTAAATAATTCAAAGTAATTCCTATAATGCAGGTTCCTTTTAAATAAAGTATTGCTGATAATAACCTCTATCTTTACACTTTGACTCAGAGTTGTATTGAAGAGAACAACTGAAGCTAAGTCTTTTACAGATTTTAAAATAAAACTTGTACTTTGATAAGTCTTAGGTTTAATAAATGAGATTTCTGTTCTGCTTTAAATTTTTAAGTTAGCTGGATTAACCTAATTTAGTTCAAACTAGTTTATTATATTTTAAGAATTACATCTTTCTAAAATAAATTTTTGTCTATTTTCAATTTTAATGACTGTACGATAAGTATTTGTAGAAGCGAAATAAATATGAAAATAAAAATAAAATCTAAATTCAACAATTCCGAGGATAAAAAATACTCAATCTACATCTAAACTTATATATCAGCTATACCAACCATAGACTGCTAATTTCCCCTATACATCAACTACACCATACCCCAACCCCTCATTCCACTCCACATCTCCTAAACCCACCCCACCACTTCCAAAACACCCACATATTCCCACTCACCTCATCACCCCCACGCCACCACCCCAAAATCCCCAAAACCCCTAAAACCTCCCTCCTTCCTTAACCCCACTTACAGTGCTTTGTCCCAAACCTGCTGATTCAGTCAAGCCACGTACAAATCTGTACTTAAGAATTTAGATTTGGGAAGGATTCACTGAGAGTTTGGGGAAGAGAGGGTGAAGGGGGTGGTAAGGAGGGGATTTGGGGAAGATTAATTAAGGGGAATAAGTTAGGAGGGTGTGAAGGGAGGTTGGGGGTGTTAGGGAAGAATTAACGGTCGTAATTTCTTTGAAAGATGAGTGTGTAATTTAAGATTTGGAATTATTTTGAGACTGTTAGGTATTATATTGAGGTTTTGCATTATTTAACGTCTGTTGTGGGCTATTTGTTGATTATATTCATAGTCACGAGGGGATTTGCACTTTAGAGTATTTAAAATTTTCAGAAAGCAAAGACTTTGTGTGGAAGTAATGCTCTTCAATTCAGTGCTTATTCTTGGAATCTAAGACAAGCTCATTTTTATCTAGTAGACCTGGACCATCGCTGGGGCAAGATTCAGAATGAAATAGTATCAGAAGATATAAATGGCATACCCAAGCTCATTGTCTCCATTAGATTTTTCCCATTCAATAAAGAAATGATGAAAGTTCTTCATCAGAATCACTCCACTTCTAGTTTCAAACACAATAACAATGACTGTGACACTATTTGCCAATCTCCATTCGAGTTTATTACTCAGTGTTGTTTCGTGATGGCTTTCGTCTACACTCTTGAGAACTTTATAGAAGTAAAATAAGGTTATCATGAAGAAGAAGCCTGTTACCATATGAATTCCAGTCACGACTATAATCCCTGATGTGAACAGCGTAGTCTTGTCTGGGTCTTTTCTTCATTCCTTTATACTATCGAAGAGAAATATAATGGCTCATATAATCAGAATAGCAAGCATGGTGGTCCATAGCATAATGTTATAAATACCCTTCTTGCTTTTCCTTTGTTTTTAAATCTCAATATTTGCTAATATAGGTAAACTAAAGCATTATGGCCATCCTCCTGTACATATTGAGAGCCTATTAGAACTATATATGTAAGTAAAAAGCAATCATGTAAAATTATTTTCGAATTAACTTCATAATTAATTAATAAAATCCTGGAGAGCTAAACCCATCTGAAGGTTATAATATTTAACGGTTAAAGAAATAATTTCTAGTTTTTGCAAATTATTGCTTTATTATATTTTATCTTGTAAAACAGAACTGAACTAATTGGACTTCATTCAATAATGCAATCTAAATTTAAATAAATATAAGTTTTTAGAAGAAATTGATAATCGATCAAGTATTTATCCAATCAGTTCAACAATCTGCTCAGAGATATGCATTCCCATTTGATTAATCCACATATCTGAGCTACACTTCAGAAACTTCATATATGATGTCTCAGATAATAGATAAACTCTGAAGTGCCATAAACTTGCTTGTCAACTAGTACTTAAACATATAAAATTTGAAGAACTTGATTGGATATCAAAATTGAAACTAAAACCTTAAATCAAGGGTAGATGACCACCATCTTGACATACTCTTCTCAGCCTTCTCCTAACCCTTTCTTCCCAATATTTCCTAATTTTCTAAATATTGAAATAATTATTTACCATTCTGCAAGCAATAATGAGTAAATGCAATACGACACTTGGATCATTCTCTTGATAATTTTAATATTCTGCCCAGTAAGAATGCTATCCAACTGATGTGTAGCTTATTCATGAAATAAGCGTGGACCTGGAAAGCCTCTTAATACCTCCTAAAATCAGAGATTTTTAACTTGCTCAGATACACGATGTGCATCTGAGTAGCCCAAGTCTTGAAATCATACTAAAAGAAGCTTTTATAAAACTGTGAAAATCCTAACTATTGGAGTACTTTTGCTACTCTAAATACAAGCAAGATTAGGCTTAGATAGAGTAAGGAAATAGTGTTTCATGCAAGAAATTTGACGCCAGAGCTTGATAGAATTTTAGGGATGAGTCTTGCTAAATCAATGAAAAGATAATTACTGAATTAACAATTAGCAAGAGTAAAGTAGTTAGAATTAGGATAGATAAATCTAGGTTTGAGTGCACTTTTCTTGTAATAAATGGAATTCAATTAACAACTCTCCCTGAGTAATAATGAGTTATCTTTAGATTTCTAGACGCACATTGAGGGGAAATTCAAGGGAGTGTGAGAGTTGGGATTCCATGGCTGGATTATTTGTTTGATGCTGTTGAGATTTTGTGTTGGAATATTATTCTAATATTGGAGAAGGGTTAAAAATTAAAATATTCAAAGATATCATGTTAGAAAATAGACTGATCACAATTAGTTTATCTTCCATATACCCATGAAGGTAATTGAACAAAAACTTTAAATGCACAAAACTCCTATTATTTGATTGAATAATTTAAGAATCAGTTATTTTGGAGAAGATTAAAATATTATGAAGTATATCTAAACTTAGCAATCTCAAATTTAGAATGATAGATTTTTATCTTCCATCCTAGCCTCTAATACATTTGACAGATTCTAAAGCTATGGCCAAAATCTATTTTCTATTAAAATTAACCCGAAAGTATTTCAATTATTTGGAACCTCCTTGGGGTTTTGGGGTTTTGGGGTTTTGGGG